TGAATGGCCCCAGAACACCCTATAAATAGCAAGTTCAACCCTTTCATTCGTTACACAATTTCTTTTCTCTCTCTCTCTCTCTCTCTCTCTCTCATTTGCTGAAGGCGTTCCGCGTCCCGAGCCCGACGATCACGACCGTTGACCGTTTTTAGTTAGATTCTATCAACTCACGCTATTAAGGTGAGTGCATAGTTACTTTCATCTTACGCATAGATATGAAGTATTTAATATAAATTACGTGTTATGTGTGCATATTATCTGTGTTTTGGATATCTATGCTGGATAAACGATTTATACATGTTTACGTGATTTAAACTGTATACGTAATTTTATACTTATAAATATATATTGGGTAGCAACGGGTGATGATAGATAGGTGATGATAGAAATGTGATAATGATTAGGTGATGATAGAAAGGTGATGATAATTAGGAGATGATAGAAAGGTGATGATAATTCAGTGATGATAGATAGGTGATGATAAATAGGTGATGTGAGATGAGAAGAGATACCATAACCTTGACTAGCGATGTAGTCATCTACCAGAGTATAGATGGCGACCACGGACTATTCTAGACAGTCATATGGAAACACCAGCAGGCTCATAACCTGTAGGTGATGAAATACGAGTTCAGGCGATGTTGTAACTACGTATTCATGCGATTATACTCTAACCCCTATTATGAATTACGAGTTCAGGCGATGTTGTAACTACGTATTCATGTGATGATACCCTAACCCTTACTAGACACGTATTGAGGGAGTAATCCCTGAATTAGTACTGTCTATGCGATGTAGGCGATGATCCTTAGGAAAAGTCCTTAGGAACAAACATATAAGGAAATGAGATGTAAGGAGATGAGAGGTATATATGATATAGGAGATGACCCTTAGGATAATATCTTTAGGGAAGATTAAATGAAGATAATGGGGATGGGTAATTGGGTTAATTGTTTGATGATTAAACATAATAATTATATTATTGTGGGTTGAAAACCCTATGTACTCACCATGTTTCCAAACCTGACCCACTCAATATATTTGTATCACATGTATTGATACGAAGCTACTTTACACTGAGAGATTTAAAGGAGATGTACATCACTAGTGTAAATGAATGTAAGGTCTGTTTATGCTTATGTTTTTGTATTGACGATGACATCTCAAATGTTTTAAATGAATAAAATACATTTCTTCGGAAATGCTTTGATAAAGTATTTATCATGTATTTTTTGGGAACAAATTCCGCAACATTTTTATTAAAAGAATTACTCTGATTTTTATAAAGCATAAACAAAATCGGTCTTTTCTGGCCGTGAAATTTGGGGATGTCACATATATCAAGAAGCTCTAGAATGAAACATACAATTAAAATACTATAGGAGTATTTTAGGCACTATAACTAAGTTATGTGAAAACTAAAAGACCCTTCCTGGTAGGTCTATAATTACTGCATGTATACGTTAAGGTTATATATAATTGAGATTTTATAGACTTAGAATTTGTGATTTTCGCTCTAGTTCCTGTTCCTTGTTTGGTTGTGGTCTTAGAGTACGATCATTTATTCGAAGGTCTATTTAATATTGGTTATATATAATCTGTATAGACTACGTGATTATAGAAGGACACGGTAAGGATCACCCCCATAAAAATATATAAGAAATGTTTTGTTAATCTCATACATCCTTTATACACCCCTAATTCTCGTACAAATGACATATCTAGACATCGTAACCCCACTACCACAGCCAACATAGGAGTCGAGGAAGAACCAAAAGAGGGTTCACAAGGAGAATTCCGAGAAAGGATCGGACAAAGAGAAAGGCACTAGAGAGATCACTAACGAACTTTACCCTATCAGAAACAAACTGGAGAGCCCGCTCGGATATTTGGGTCCAGTCTAGGGCGATCATAACTAGGACTTAGAGCAGAAGAGACTATTCACGAATCACGTGAGGAGGCCGAGCTCCTTATGCGTCACACTAATAATTAATAAACAAATATAACTAGTGAGTTAGTGATTATACTACTCACACTATGTGTTAGGCTTATTGCCTCTTTCATCGCAATTAGTAACAGTGAATCAAGTCACGAAATTTCATTTGAGGGTGGTTACTATTAAAAAATCATAAGTCTATTGTTCATAGACCTTTGTTATGAATTGTTTTCAAAACACTATAAAAGTCGGAACATGATACACACAAAACTAAGATAACTTAGTTCAAACGACACTCGACTTATAACCACTACTAAGGACTTACCACCATTCCATCTTTTAAAAACCTCACGGTAGAAGGGTGCCTCCCCATAGACATATAAGGCGCGCCCTCAACAACACGTCACCGAATCCTCCACTTTACGACACTACTGTCTTTCAAGCCGCTGTAACAGCCGCCATGACTCAAATCCACACAAGTGGTTTGAGTGACTTGGGTAATGGTGTTGGCCATCCTAACCATGAAGAAAGCCATGGGCACCCATATTTAATTTTAGTAAACCTAACACTTGTAAAATACCTACTTCTACTCCCTACCATAAGTACATCTCAGGGATGTTGGCAGGAACATTGAGAAGATTTCAACAAAACAAAGAATTTATATATATATATATATATATATATATATATATATATATATATATATATATATATATATATATATATATATATAAATAGATGGAATATGACTAGAAACGACCATAGTTGCTAACGAGCTCGTTTCTCATCATGTAACAGAATCATTCCTTCACAAGGAAGTAACCAGCCAACCGACAAAACACCAATTCTGCAGATGGACTCTGCTACTTTTCAAGCTGCGGTCACAGCCGCCGTGACAGTCGTCATGGCACAACTCAACACTAACAACACAAGTGGCCACAAAAACTGTACCTACAATGCTAACCGCAAAAGCAACCAAGGGCACCGACTAGTGTCTGCTGACAAGGACACCTCAGACCACAAACCTAAGAACAAGAAACGAAAATTCTGGAACAAGAAAGGGAGCAGTTCGACCCAAGGTCCTCCCAAGAGACCACAACTTGTGGCCGCCCCTACAGCCACAACATCTGCCACTCCAACACCCCCAATCGATATGCTAGAAACCTTCCAAAGTGTAAAAAGTGCAACTTCCATCACACGGGAGTTTTCCGAGTAATGCACTGTAAAAAAATGCAACAAGAAGGGGCACACTGCCCGACTCTGCAGGTCACCGACACACTCAATCTCCCAGGTCCTCGGCATTGGAGTAAGCCAGGCCTGTTATGGGTGTGGCGAAACTGGGCACGTCAAGAGGGACTATCCCATAACAAGGAACTCTGGTGAGGATGGAAGAGTGCTGATGATCACCGCAGGAGAGACTCTTCCGGAATCACCTGTGGACAGTGGTACGTTTCCCACATGAAAATATGTTAAAACTTAAAATTTTTACGAAAACTATTACCAACTAAATCTTAATCATAAATTACTTCGTCGTCCGTACAAAGCACCACATTGATATAAAAACTAAGGGTCCTTACAGCTAAGCTATGATGGCTTAGTGTAGACATTAAAGTCATATGTAATTAAGATTCTACAGACTTAGAGTGCGTGATTCCGGCTTAACTCATGTTCCTTGTCTGGTTGTGGAGTTAGGGCAGAGTCACTAACTACTAGAAAACAGCCCTTTAATGGCGCGCAAACAATGACACGCGCTGATAGAGGACGCGCATTTGTGCGTGCCCTAAAAAATAATGTCAGTTTTGCAAAATTTAAAGGATAGAGGACACGCATTTGTGCGTGCCCTAAAATTAGTGTCAGAAAAGAAAAAAAAATGCGGAGGGCACCTTTCATAAAATGTGTGTCATCTAAGTGTGTCACTTTATAATTTTTAATGAAACACGCGTTTTTAAGGCGGGATTTCACCCGCCTATTGGATCCCAAAAATTAAACCCCCCGCCTCTTCCAATTAGCAAGAAAAAACCCTAGGGCATTCGTCTTCATAGCAAAATTTCTCTTGCTTTCGTGATCAAAGAAGAAGACGACGACTTAATGGGGTGAAACATAATTCCGAATATGCAGAATTGCTCTTGCTCTCGTAACAGCTAATATGAAAGTCAACAGAACATGTGTGCGTACAGTCTTCTTACCCCTTTTCTCCCTATGTGTATAGGTAATTCCAAGAACTCTCAAGAAATTTAAGATTCGCACCTCCTTCCTGCACCAATGTATCCTCTGTTTGCTAGTAATTTCTTTACGATTCGTTATTGTTTTCTCTCGATTTGAACTGGGTTTCTTGTTTCTCACGAAGATCTCACTTCTGTGCGATCTTTATACGTAATTGTCTATCTGCTGCATAAATAGAATGTTCTATGTTGTAGTTTTGTCACTGAATCTTGGTTTATATCGTCAAGTTCTTAGGGTTTTAGGTTTAACAGTACGGATATGGGTTTTTATGATTCAATTGTTGATGGTAACAGTTTCTTTAATAAACAAGTGGTTATCCTTAATTTTATGTACAAAAGCTTCTGATTTGCTGATGGAGTTGATTTATCTCATGTAAGAACCTGTTTCCTTCTGCGATTTTTGTCTATATTTTGACTTGAAAAGATGTTTATCATTGTATATTGTTTTTGGTTTCATTACAGGGTGTTTATGGTTATGGTTATGCACCATATGGACCTTATTCTCCTGCCGGCTCACCTATGCCAACAGTAGGTCAAGATGGTCAACTCTATGGGGCCCAACATTACCCCTACTTCTTACTTCCAACCTATGACCCCTACAAACCTTAATCGCCTGCTCCTCCAAAGGGTGAGATCACAGCAACTAAAGAGGAACCTGTTTTATCTTTGGGCACAACTAAAGGAAACCCAAATGGTGTGAAGGGAAACACTGCTTCTACCCCTGTGAGGCCAACTTCATATCAGAATTTATCTTTCAATCCAAATGGAACCTATGGAAGAGGTGCACAAACTGGCTATCAAGATCCAAGATACACTTATGATGGGCTTCAATCACCTATACCATGGCTAGATATCTGCAAGACAAAAGGTACCCTTCCTTTCAAACATGTTAATATTCTTCAACCATCATTTTTCTATTTCATTTTTGAATTTTTGTGTATTTAATCTTTGCATTATATGATTGGTGTAGTATTGATGAGCTACAGACACTTTTATCTGACCAAGGAGCCTATCAACAGTTCTTGCTTTCAATTGATCCTGTAAGAACTCAGAATAATGTAAGCAACAAACTTTTATCTTTTTAATCACAAGTTCTTAAATTCTTGATGTTTTGATTTAGTCTTCCAGTTATTTTTATCTTTATATATTGGACAAATAATGAGGAATAACAATGCCTATATTAGTAAAAAGATCAAGTACATTGCTCATTCCTGTAACTTTCTCTTATATATATTTGTTTTTTTAACCAGGTACGAGATGAGCTTAAGAAAGAAACCCTGCAACTTGCTTGTAAGTTTCTTACTTGATGTGTTAGCCTTTTTATCAAATTAGTAACCTGAATAAAGTTGAAATAAAGTAAAAATAACAAAGAAAAAAATGAAGTGGATAATCTACTCCATTGAATATTTGACCGTGGATTTATTTACCAAATGTCTAAAATATCCTTGAATAATATACGAGTGATTTTATGATATGTTTGTTATGCAGGAGAAAACTTGGAAAAAGAACCCCAGATAACTGAATTAAGGAACCAGGTGAGTTTTTCAGGGCACTTAAAACTCATATAACTGGAATTCCAGATTCCATTCCATCATTGCATGTTTGTTTTGCTAAATCAATGGAAATCAGTTCCATTCTTTTTTTTTTTTAATAATAAACCAAAATACCCTCATTACATGTATTGAAATAATAAATATAGAAAAAATAAAACTTACAAATCATTCAATTTTATTATTGAATTTTATTCCATCCATCCAACCAACCAACCAAACACATTTCCTTTATTCCTTCAAATTCCAGTTCCTTCAACAGATTCCATTCCGATTCCTTTTTGTTAACTTCATGTGGTGTTACAGTGAATGATCATACGAACAATGGAATTAGCATCTGCTCAAGAAAAGTTACATGAGCTCAAGAAAAAAACCCAACTCCTTCAATGTTACTCCTCGGGTTCCTTGCTAAACAAGCTACAAGGTATAATAAATATATATTTTCTTTAAAATTGATTATTTGTCATTTTTGGGAATTAATCTGATTATATATTGTTGCTAATTTTACTTCAGAGTGTATGAATAAAACGGATGAGGAATCAGAAATGCTACATGAACAGCTTCTTGGAAAGGAGATTGATGTTGTGACTTTTACTAAAAAGTATAAACAACTTCGGATTAATTACCATAAAAAGTCTCTCACCTATCTTGCAGCCAAGACTAGTGTCGTTGGCTGATCGTATTTTTAACAGGTTTAAATGTCATAAACTGGTAACCAACTATTTATTTTTTTATTCACAAAACACCGTTGAAAACTATTAAAATAATGGTATTTTGTAAACACAATGTTTCAGTTATTTGAAGAAAAAACCAACGGTGTTTTGTGAAGATAAAAATATAGTTCTTTACTTATTTATGAGATTAAAAAGCAAAATTCCAAGATTCTTGTGTGTTGAAATTGAAATTGTTGTTATGGACTTTTAGGGGATGTTTTTTTTTCTCCGCTAGTAATGTATGGGTAAAGTAAATGATAAAAGGACTTTTCTTTTTTGGTTTAAATGAAAATATGAAGAAAAAAACTTATTGTGTTACCCTTCTGTCTGAAAATGATTTTGAATAATAGTTAACTGTTTATTTGACAATTATTATAAACTGACATTGTGAATGAAATAAGAGCACGTAAAAGAAGTGTCTTTTAAATGTACACATAGTTTGCTTTCATGGTTTTTATGGAAGTTACAATATTTTTTTACCACATGTCCATCACCATATCTTCATTTTTGCTACTTTTATCTTCCTCTCATGTCTTTTCATGCATTGGAGGTGTGTGTGGCATTTGATTCAGGTAAAGATATATAAAAAAATATATAGTCAGCTTATATTTTAACAAGACATTAACAATAATGGTAATATTGGTTTTATAATGTTGTTATAGAATGATTTGGTGCACGGATGGGGTTTGGATTTTGCACTTCGACGATGTGTAAAGGTCAGTCAATCAATTCTATTTTCTTCTGACTTCTAAAATTAACTTCAAATTAAAATCTCAAAAAAAAAAATGTTTTGATGTGACAGCCTGCACACGAGAGCCAGGTGAGACCAACCCCACCCCATGTTATAGTGAAATGGAAATAGAATGGTATAATTGAAAGTAAAATGTTGTTGATTCAGGGTAAGTCTGAGAATGGTGAAGCTCCATGGAAGGGGGTAAAGAGATAGATGCAGAAGTGAGTGGGCATTGTTCCAAGATCGACTTGCAACTGCAGCTAAAGCTTACACACACACACGTACGTCATTGGTTTGTTTCTTGAAACTCAATGTTTCTATTTTTTTATTCAATTTAAATTGTTGTAGTTATCACTTTAGTTGTATCTGTACTGTTGCTGTTGGAATTTTGATGCAAAGTGCATTGCCTTTATATGTTAGCCCGTAAAGTACAAAACCTTTTTCAAAATAGATGTGTGATTTTGCTGCTGCTTTGATGCTACTGCTACTGCCATTGTTGAGGTTGTTGTTTTATACATTTATGATGTGTATGAGTTTGTTGTTTTAGGTGATTTTTAAAAGATTTTGGCTGTTATTATAAATATATGAAACAAAATATATTAGTTGTTTTTTGTGTGGAAATGATTCCCTTTTATGTTAGATTGGGAATCATTGGATAATAGCAAATTACCTATATTTGGCTGAAAACATGCAGACAAACTAATTTGATTCTTGGGTTGGCAGAAATACAAGTTTCACAATGTGCAACAAGTGTTGCATTCTTCATTTCAATTGTTAGAAGAGGAAAAGAAAGCTCAAGCTGAAAGAGATAAGATGCTGCAAATCAAGTGTTGCATTCTTCATTTCAATTGTTAGTTGTACTACTAATAATGGAAGCTGCTAATAAAGGAAATAGAAGAAGCCGCATGAAATAGATTTTTTGTATGAAACACAAAGTAGATTAGATGAATGCAAATTTATATATTGTAAGAAATGGAATTGTATGACACTAAATTTTAGGCAATGGATTGTATTTTTTGTATATGGTATTTTATTTCTATTATGAGAAATTAAATGCAAATTTAATTTAAAAATTAATAAATATATAAATATATTTTTTTTAAACATTTAAATTTACGATACGCAAAAATGCGTGCCATCTTCATTTATGACATGGCCTTTCTTGACAGGGGTTTTAATGATACGCATTGCGTGTCATAAATGCGTGTCATAAATGCGCGTCGTCTCTCGTTATGATAGGGCCTTCCTTGACGCGAATTTGCGCGTTGTCTGAGCGTTTTACGACAGGCATTGCGCGTCGTAAAAGGCTGTTTTTCTAGTAGTGACTCAGTCGACTATCTTCTCAGCCTTAATTATATATGACTTGTAGACACCAAACGATTAGGAAAGGACCTAGTAGGGATCATAATATGAAATATCATTACCAGTTATCGGGACACTCGTATTGCTAGTACTCGTTTAATGAGGTACAAAATGTACGCAGTAGTAATAACAAGGATAAAACCAAAAGCACTAGAAAGTGCACATAGAATGCACTATCATTCTATCCAACACTTCTTCCGAATCGACTTAACACTCGTTACAATAAGAAGTTTCGACGTCGTCATCCGACATGGATTGGCTTAGTCCTCACCATACCAATTATATGTGCTACAAAATGACCCATCACCTTAACCGACCGACTAACGAAACGCTCGTCACTCATAACGATAAACCTGACACTACTAAGTGTATACGCGAGGGTGGTATATAATTAAAATTCTATGGACTTAGGATGTGTGATTCCACCTTACCTCATGTTCCTTGTTTGGCTGTGGACTTGAGGCAGAGTCACCCAACCGACGGTCTTGTCGATATTAATTATATACGGCTTGTATACACAAGGTGATGATAGAGGAACCAGGTATGAATCCTACCATGAACTTCAAAACGAAACTGCCCAGGACTACGTGTGGAAATCCTACCAGTCAGACAAACGTAGACAATTAAACCCAAACCCACACACTCTCTACCGATCAAAACAGTAGACGCAATAGTGAAGATCCGCTGGAATGCCAAGCGAGGATCGGAATTCACTTGAGATCGAGAAGATCAGATGAAACAAAAATACTCACATCTTTTCCCCAACCCTTGAAGTCCCATTCGAAATGCTAATTTCGGGACGAAATTCCTTCTAACGAGGGGATGATGTGACAACCGTCAATTTCTGGCCAACTCAAAGTCAAACTAAGTCAACGAGTCAAACCGGTCAACTCAACTAGTGCTTGTATGATAGGACGTACTCTACGTTTACTAGTGTACAAATCTCCATCTTAATAACAAAGTGTCACTCAGAAGTTTCATATGCTTAGAAATTCTAAACCCTAAGCAGGGTGAGGGATGTAACGACTCTATAAAGCACTATTACGTACCCTTCGGGGGCGTATAACACTCATAACAAGGCTTAGTGGAGTTTATAATCCTAGCACTACGGGGCAAAACACTAACAAAGGCCACAAGAAAAGTCTCTCTCAATCTCTTTTGCTATATCTCTCTCTCTCTCTCTCTCCCAAATCTCTCTCAAAAATCACTTTCAACTTTTTCATAAACATCCGTGCCATCCCAACCCTTCAATTAGTTGAAAAACACTCGAAACGGGAAGAAAATATGAAAAACAACACAATGGGTGCGAAACCCTCTCAAGAAACGAAACCCTCTCAAGAAACGAAACCCTCTCATGCGAACTTTCTCGGATGCGAACCTCTTGGATGCGAACCTTCTCGGATGCGAACCTTCTCGGATGCGAACCTCCTGATGCGAACCTCCTGATACGAAACCTCTCGGATGCGAACCCTCTCAGCTGCGAACCTTCTCAGCAGCGAACCTTCTCGCTTCTCAAGTCTGGTTTTTGACCAGTTTCGCATTTTGAGTCCGTTTTTGATGATTTTGACGTGAGATTTTCACCCAATTCATATTTTTCACATATTAGACCCTCTAAACTCATATACTATCCACATTTTGAAGATTTATTTAATATAAATCATATTTTGCTTAGGATAAAATCTCAAAAGTGCATAAAGGTACTCTTTGACTTTTCTCATAAAGTTATGACACCAACCACCCTCATATCAACTCTATGACAACTTTATGTCACTATTCACATCTATCTAGTCAATTCATTTAGCTTCTTCAACACTCTTTCCATCCAATCAACCTTTATGAACAAATGCAAGAGATTTGTTTCACTTTTCCAAGATTTCATTTGTTATCACCAAAAGCAAACTTATCTCTCTCTCTCTCTCTCTATCTCTCTCTCTCTCTCTCTCTTTCTCAGTCACGACTTCTCCAGGAAGTTCTTGAACTTTCCTCATTTGGATTGGTAAGTATATGCTATAAAATTATACACAATCTTCATACAAATCGTGATCATTTACACAAATATTCACATATTTGTTCTTAGGATCTTCAAATCTTCAAGCATCTTTCAAGTGTTCTTGACTTGAAAATCTTCATCTTCAACCTTCCATTCTTCGAGAAATCATAGAAGGTGAGTTCAAACCCTTACATTTTCATGTTTTCTTCAAGTTTTAGGGGGGGGGGGGATACAAGTTACAACACCCAAAACATATTCTAAACTTAATCAACAGCTTTCAACAGAAAAGTTATGGTCTATTCACGAACTTTTTTTGACCATCTTAAACTTAATATTTTTCAAAACTGTTCAATAAGAATTTAGTTCAGGTTGATACCTTTCTAATGGCTACTTGCACATGTTCATACGAATTTTGTACAATTTATGGCGATTTTTACAAAATTGCCTATCATTTCATAAACGATTTCGGACCAGTATGTGAAGATGGACATTTTCACATTGGTTAGAGACCACTAAAAATCATAATAAAAACTAAGAACAAACTAGACACAATTTCTGAACTCCCAGAGTTTACGGATTCAGGTTTTCACTTACAGTGATTTTTCTAGGATTTTTCTAAAACAGTGACAGAAAAGTTAAAACTAGTAAAATAGTTTATAAGTTCATTAACACTTTGTAACATGTTGAGCAAAGTGTATATCAATAAATAGCTACATATTGATTGTATATCATAATTGTTTACTTCCATGAAATAGAAATAGTCATTCACATAAGGGTCTTTCATCATTACAAACACATATGATAAACTATAATAGGTATAGTTTATGGTACAATAACACTACGAACATACTAAGGAAGGTTTCATTTATACTATAAAAT